GCCTTCTCAGAAGGTATTTGGACCCTCCAAACCTACATACAGTCAATAGTTCACCTCTGACATGTTTGCGGATCCTAAGTTCTTGGCTGCAATAAACAAAAACACCTTCAGTTTGCTGCTCCTATTCAAGGAACCATGACATCATAATCTTTACTTTCATGTCATCCTCCAAATCCCCACTACTGCAACAAGTGAGGTAGACTCTGCATGGATCCGCCTAAGATTGGCGCTCCCCTCCAAAAAGAAGAAGTATACCATACCATTACAACTCTCCCTCCGCCCCCAATAAACAAGGGCCCTAGGCATACCAAACCGCATGGAACCTGCTCCAAACGAAAAGCATCACACGAACCACGTGAGCCGAACCGCGATCACTCTCTCCGCGGAAGCTGGGCTCTCCCCGCGTCTCGGGCGTGCCGCCCTGCAGTCCCCCAATGGGGTCGAAAAAGAACAAAGGCCCTCCACACCGTCCCCTCTTCTGTGGATTTGAGAGGTGAGGTCTTCGGATTTTAGGTCTTTTATGAAGAACAGGCTTCCCCGCCTGTCTTGAGACACCTAGATGGACGCGTCAGCTAAAGGTTTAAGAACTAAGAACGAACAGATCGCACAACTCAGGAGTTGTCACTATATACAGGAGTTCAAGCAAGCCACCAGCTCAACTCCCAGGCTGCTGCATCATCGCAGCAGAACAGGCAGGGCTATGCCCCACTCGTGACTCGTGACTAGTGGACGGAGAGAAAGCAAGAAACAAACCTCTTCCGGCCAGCCTGGGGAAATGACGGGAATTATAGACTCCAAACTAGAAAAGCATCCCCTTCCCTCCGAAGATTTTTCCTTCCACCACTTCAAGCGCAGAACCTTGTCCCCTGCCAACCCTCGCCATATGGCGGGAGTTTGGCGCGAGGCGGGAGAAGGAAATACCCTCCTACGCCACTGACGTTTGCCGGCGGCACTCTGTCTCCAGGGAATTGCTGCGGACACTGTCCATGCGTTGTTTCAGCCAAGTCTGTTCAGACATAGCTGGAATCTCCCAATTGCGGATGACAACACTGCAAGGAGATCGCTGTTGGCATCCCTCAACTTTCTTCCCCAGAAACATGCGGCTCAGGTGAAACTTGCTGCTTGGAGGCACCACACTCTGGAAGTGCGCTCTTCAGCAGCGAAACTTGGGCGTTCAACTTCTGCTTAAAAGAAATAAAAACCTAACTACCGCTGGAATGCAGGCTTGCTTGGAGATGGGCCACCTAGATCCACAGCAAGCATAGAACAGGAACCCTGCCACCATGCTCGCTTATGACCAGCCAGCTGGCTTCATCTCCGCAGGTCCGCGGGTCCCGCCCAAGGGCGTCACAAGCCGCCCAGCAAGTCCTTCAGCGCGGAGAACTTCTGCGTCGACCTGGGAGAAGAGAGTGGCGGAGACGAGGCCGGACGCGTGCTCTGGTCAGGTCGGAGAGTGGATCCCAGACCCATGGAATTGTTCCATGGAAAAGGACCGGCGGTTCTGCAGGTCCACCGAACCTGAGGATGTGGGCCAGGAGCCCTAGGGAGTTGTAAAAATACATGAAATAGTGCATGAAATAGTGCATGGCCAATGGTGCCATGTTCCAAAGCATATCGAAGATGACTTCATTTCCAGGGTTTCTGGTGTGTTCAGCTGATTGCAAAGGACAGTAGCACCCAGAAAGAAGACCTCACATGGATGATAGGGAAACAAAACAGAAGATTTAAGATGTTGATCATTTCTGTCTTGCAAATCCTCAGGTTGAACAAAATCATGTACCATCACCAGTGGCCATATACAGAAACATACCCCAAAGCTCGGCCCCAAAACCATCATAGGATCGATCCCTCCCTTTTTCACCAACGATCCCAGGCGCTGGAAGGCATTCTCTCGGCTGATCCGGTAGGAGAAGTCTCGCTCTTGCGCCTCTTTCTGCTCTTGCCTTGTTGGTCTAGGTCTTGGCCGGTGGGTCAAGTACACCATTCCTATGGAACCCAGTGGTTTTGGGGTTGCATGTAAAATCTGCAGGGGAGTCACCGGGGAGTTTGTTCACTTGGATTTGGGTGCTGGGAGTCTCTTTTGCCTTTGGGAGTCTATGCTGGGTACTTTCGACTGCGTGTCGGATTCCAGTCTGTTCTGCTGGCTGTGGGGCTGTGGGTCAAATCCTCACAACCTCCATGCACCTGTAAAGGAACATGAGCTAGCTGCTAGCATGAGTACGCCAACCGCTGCAGATCCCTGCAGGAGACTTCCCCATCTGCTCAAGTGGGACGATCTTGCCTCATATCTGGTTTTCCACCCGGCACCAACACACACGTTGGTCTCCAAGAGGCATCTTGCGCGCAATATCCACCTGGCGTCGACATTCGGTTCGCCAAAAAGGGGTTCGCCAAAACGGACTGGCACGAGGATTTGGTTTCAGCAGCAGCTTCCACTCTGAACGGAACAGGTCAGTGACCTCCTAGATGTGATTTTGGCACCTGGTGGTGACCATGCTGCTCCATACGGTGCCAAAAAGAGTCCAAAAAGGCAACATATTTGCCGGCGCTGGTTTGTGCAAAATCACACCGCTGAGCCACGTTGTTTCACCAAATGCCGAAGCAAACAGAAGGGTTCTCGCCCCTCAGCGGCGCTTCATGGTCGAAGGGGCTGGCCAGTCTGCCGCTGATGTATGTTGATTGATGTTGATTGTGTGTTGCCTTCTGCTTGCCCTGTCTATACTGGTGCAAACCCCACGCTCACACCACAAAAACCATACCTCATGTTGTGCTCCCCAAGTCCCCAAGTCCAGTCCAGTCCAGTCGGCTTCATGATCTTCTCCCCCCCGGAACCGCCGAGGTACACTCTTGGGCGGAGGTGACTCTGCCAGGACTGCCTTGTGACAGGTCAGTGTCGCCTGGGAGGATGCTTGGGCGCTGATCTGGTTCCGGACATTTTGGAACCTAGGCCTCAAGCCGCCTGAAATCAGGTTCTATTTGCTCTTAGATATTGCATATGGCTGAAATATTCTGACATATGTGGCAAACAAATATACCCTGAAGAGTTTTGAGAAGCCTTGGAAGGCCTTTTTCTCCACTAGCTCACTGACCTTTTGGCGGATTGGTCAGCAAGACAACTCCGTGAAGACCCAAATGAGCAGCATGTAATGGCACGGTGTACTTTGCCTGAGGCCCTCGGATCGTTCCGGAGCTGACGATCCCGCTGATCTATGCAGGCTTCCTTTCCCAGGCAGCTCTAACCCTCCCTCCAACCAACATGGAAGCTGACCAGGACCCCTGGTCGAGGAAGGTCATGATCTTCCAGAAGCCGAACCGTTCCACTTCTATGATTGTTTTAGAATGTTTTAGAAAGAGTGTACCTCTTCTTCTCCCCTCCCCATCTTCCTATAAACGCCCGACCACCCGGCGGTTCACGGAGGCCCGGTTCGTACCGGAACGGTTCTTTACGGACGCCCAGTGGCGGCCACGCGCAAGCCCGTGTGCCACGAGCTAGGCGACCTGGCCGGGGGTTCCGGAGCTGGGCTGCTGGGCTGCTGTGGTGTGGCTCGTCCCATCCAGTGAGTGGATGGACCGTGGGCACCCCTACTATCCCCCTACTCGCTCCATCGCACGCTGTCCTCCATGTGACTGGGAGACATTGATCGAATGAGTCTCTGTGGATCGCACCGGGTCCTTTTTGGACGGTCACTGAAGACCTCGAGGTGGGGTGGGAAGGAGTGGGTTCGGGAGACCCTGAAAGCATGTGAGATGTCCTCTGCATGATATGAGGTGTTTTTGGGGGATGGAGAGTTGTTGAGTGGAAAATGCGTCAAAAAGCCGCAGGTTGTTGTCAGACTTGCTTTTGAAAGGTGGTGGGCACCAAATGCTTCCACGGTTTAAAACGAAAGAAGGGCAAACCGGAAAACCATCGAAGCTTCTACCATGCTTCTACGCCATGCTTCTACAGCTCCGATCTATATTTGCTCAAGGTCTGGCCAGAGTGGCTTTTGAGGGAACCGGTGCAGCCTTTTCCCATGGAGTTCTTCCAGACCTTCGGCCCTTCGTCTCCGATCCACTGAGCCGTTTCACTGCTGAGGTCGGCGTCCCAGGAGGTCCCGCACGTCACGGCCGAATCTCCTCTTTCGGGCTCCAGGAGGTTAGCTCCTCAGGTTCGTATTTGACGAAACACCCTCCTGGCACCCACCCACCCACCTCTGTCCCACCTACCCGAAACGAAGGCACGACAGGAACCCTATAGGGTTTTTACTTTCGTCACCTCACTGTTTTTCTGCGCTCTAACCCACGGGTCATTCTGCACCTCTACCGGGCCGAGCGTAGCTCCACCGCTTGGCACCGTCCCGCGCTCCGCTACGCTCGCTCCACCCGAGCACAGCACCGTCCCGTCCCCATCGCACCGTCCCGTGGGAGATCCATCGTCGATGAGGGTCTTCTTCTTCGCTTGTTGCTTCGGGGCCTGGGAGATCCACCCGGTTGGGGGCCTGAGGGGCCTGTGGAAATGAGGATCCTCTGTGCTTCATGATCTTCATGCTGGATCCAGGTGCACCAGGAGTCGCATGTCGCTCGGGGTGTGGAGGAAGTTGGGGTACTCAGAACATCCACTGGGACCTGGATGGGGCTCAAAAGACTCCTGGTACTGCCTGCTTTCCAACCTGCGTGCCCAGCCAAGTATTGTTCTGTGCTGAGGGGAGAAGGTCAATCCACAACAAGTCGTTGCTCATGACACACCATGAGAATTGTACCAGGCCCCCGGTGGTTAATGGACACTCCTTAACCTCTTTGTGGTGCTATTATCAAAAACACCACGTAAATGCCTCAGGGGGCTCTGGCATAGCCACATTCTTCCAGGCGGGAGGCTGGCATTGGTCGACAAAAGTTTACCCACGCATGTCCCAGTTGGCCAGAAGCCTGGACGGTTTTGCCGTGCCAAAACTCATGTGCCCAAAAAGTTCTGAGTGGCCATGAGTGGAGTGGGTAAGAATCACTATATAACTCTGACTCTTGGGAGTATATATATATCCGCCGACCCCGGCCGACGCAAGGGGGAGCGCGCCAGGGAATAATGATAGATCCGCCAGAACTCAATGGGTTAAAGCTGTGGCGGAGGGGTGGTTTCAGATGCTTTTGGGAGGCTGGAAAGCTTTTGGCAGGCT